CTCTGACTTTCCATCAGTTTGTGGATGAAAGATTGTGTTACAAGTGAGTTGAGTGTCCACTGCCTCATGCAACTTTTTTCAAAATTACTTAGATGTAAACTAAGTGCTACCGTCTGAAATGATAGAAAGGGGCATTCCGTACAACCTTACTGTTTCCTGGACACAAATCTTGGCCACCTGTTGAGAGTTGTAATACATTGATCGGAATAAAGTGTATTGATTTAGTGAATCTATCCACAATGAATCAAATCAAATCATACCATACTTCCCCAAGGTCATAGGTAATCCCAACATAAAATTTATGACTATCATTTCTCACTTCCACCCAGGAATAAACATTTTCTAAAGTAAACACGCTGACCTTTGGTACTTCACTTGTTGATAATTTTTGACATTTAGAAACATACACAGCAATAGCTTTATTTGTTCAAGACCATCAATAAAAGGTGCCTCAAATTCCGATATATCTTGTCACCATCTGAATGAATAAAATATTGTGATTCTTGAGATTTTTCCAATAAAGTCTAGATCAAATGACCAATCTGAGGAACACAAATTCTTTCTCTAAAACTGAGTACACCTCTTGCATCGAGATTAGTATCTTGGGTCTCTCCAAACACTATCTTATTTCTAAGCTTATTCAAGTCCTCATCCTGAAACTGATTAGCCTTGATTTCCTCCTTAAATGTGGGCTTAACCTCAATATAGATATTACCCCACCCTACCCCACCTTTTTTAGAGAGGTCAAACCACGTGAACTTAGACGATCCAAAGCCTAAATCTCTCTGACCAAGGGTCACTTAGACACCCCCAAGTAAGTCAAATTGTTGTGCAAACTGTTTTTTTTTTTGGCTCAATGCATCTGTCACACCTCTTTTTCGCGCAGCGCCGTAAGGGTTTTTCCAATTTAAGTGACGTTATTAATTAGGGGATTATTTTAATTTTTTCAGAGTCTCCACTTGGAAATGAGTTACGGTGTTCCAAGTCACCTTTTTTGTTTGATTCCTAATCAAAAGGAAATGACTCTTTGTTTGGTCTGCGAACCAGAAATTCGGGTAAGGAATTCTTTTGACCGAAAGGAAGGTATTAGGCACCCCTCGATCTCGTGGTTCTAGCACGATCGCTTTATTGACTTTTATATGACTTGACTTAATTTTGAATATATTATGTTTATTACCTAACAATTTACTTATGTCCCGCTTGCTTTTTTTTTATTATTTTAAATTACTTTGTGAAATTGTCATATTTTATTAGCATGTAGTTTATTTGTAGCAACTCTTTCCAACCTCAAATTGTTTATTTGTTTGTATTTAAAGACTAAAAGTAGTTTAATATTTTTTGGATTTTAATATTTTATTATTATTATCATTATCATAAGGCTAAATTATAGATTATCTTAGTTTTATTTTTCTAAAAGAAAATGAACAATATATTAATGAGAACATGAGATAAAAATAAATTAAAATAATACACCTTTTCACATAATTTTTTTACTTTTTCTTATTTTAGTCATTAAAATGAAATGAACCTAGTAATTAAAATCAATTTTATTTATTTTATTTATTTTTGTACGTTTTGGGTCACTTTAATATTGTTTTTCATTTTTTTCATTTTGTTTCTCTTTCTTCTTATACTTTACCTTATTTTTCTTTTATATTTTCTCCTTCTTGTTTTAGTACTTTAATGTTTTATGAATTTCTTTTACGTCTTTTCCTTTTATTTAAATTTTTATTTTTCATTCTTTCAACATGAATAAATTAATTGATTTTTTTTTTAAAAAAAAGTTTCGCATTAAAAGAAATGTAAAGATAGTGTAGGTTTGATTTATTTTATCTTTATTTTTGTTCTTCTCTTTTTTAAAAATAAATAACTATAGTTTTATTAAATATACAAAGTGAAAAAGTAACTTAACAAATAAGAACTAAATTTTATCTAATTATTACTAACTGCATACTGAAGAATATTAAGCTTCGAATTTTAATAAAGAACAAGATAAAAGGAAACTTTAGAGCAAACAAGAATAAATACATGTTATATAAATTTTACTCTAAATAATAATATAAATCTCAATCTATTTCATATCATAATGTAAAAATTAAACATGCATAAATTTAAAACACTTTGTATCATTGAAATCATATCTTGCATGATTTTGAAACCAAATAATGTAATAAAGATCAACTGTTACCTTTTGTGAAAATTAATTCACAAAGAAAATACATCGATAAGGGCCACAAATTTGAAGCCTCGAATTCCACTATTTTTGAGTTGTTTTTTTTGTGCATGTGTTCTTTAGGAAAAAACAAGGTGAAAAGTTTTTTTTCTCCTTTACCTCTCTTTTGCTGATTATTTTTCTATTTTGATTCCTCCCTTTTGCTGATTTTTTTCTTTGTACCACTTTTTTTTTCTTCTTCCTCCCTCCCATTATTAATGTATATATATTTATGTAAAATGTGTGTACATGTGTATGGAAGAGTTGGATTAGTGGAGTGGGGTGTGGGGTATGGGGTGAGTGGAGAGAAATGGTGAAGTGGGGGTGGGATAATGGGTAGGTTAATTTCTTTTAATTATTTTTTTGTAATTATTTTTTTGTTATATAATAATAATAATATTAATTAAGAAAAATTAAATAGCTAGATTAAATAAAAATTACTAATTTATTAAAACCTTGAATGAATAAATAAAAATATACCTTAAAGTGTGATTCTATTTTTGTGATTTTCATATCTTTTAAAAATAAACTTAATAAAATAAGATAAAACTCAAAATATTTATAAAAAAAATATTTAATCTCTAAAAACGGTATAAAACTTAGATTCGGTAAAAAATTACGTGTCTACAGCATCTGCTAACACATTGATCTTTCCTAGATGATATTAAATGATCACATCATAATTTGAAAATTTCGTCTATCTCCTCAGTATGAGATTCAGATCCTTCTAAGTGCACACATGTTGCAAGCTTTGATAATCAGTGAACACTGCAGTCTTCACTCCATAAAGATAATGCCGCCACATCTCTCAAAAGTAAACATTATTGCTTCCAACTCTAGATCTTGGATGAGGTTTCTCCTCTCATGGACCTTCAATTGTTTGAAATTATAAGCTATAAAATTCTTTTCTACATCAACATAGCACTCATACCCAACTGTGAAGCATCACGAAAAATAATGAAGTCCTTAGCTTTCACTGATAATGTAAGGATAGTTGTTGTTCAAAAGGTTCTTGATATTTTGGAAACCCTCTTCACAAAATTATAGTCACATCGTTGAAGTTCTTGCTTGAGAGGCTATATGCGTAGATAAAATATACAGTTCAAAACTCCTTACTTGATGAACAAGTGAAGCATCTCATCCTTCGTAGCATAAATTGACAAGGCATGAAACTTAGTTTCATAAGTAGCCATAATTATGTTTCCCTGCTCAAGAATCATGAACTCATCCTTCTTTCGACCTCTCAAAGTAAGAGACACATATTTCTCCAATAATAATGCATTAAACTATGTCCAAGTTAGTCAAGGCAAGACTGATAATTGACATACCACAAAATGAATTCAAAGGCATTCTTACTTTCAAAGCCGTGAAACACTGCAAGCTTTAACTTCAAAACTTGGCCATAATATCATGTTAGTGACAATCATCACTTAGCCAAGTAATGGATGGAAGAATGCACTAGTGTTTGAGTCTCCTACCATCTTACAGACCGCAATAGTTATAAGACGAGTAAGTGGAACCTAAGTAGCCCGCACAGTGGGAGTGTCTCTAATACCTGTCAACCTACAACCCCGAGTATGTATTCACACATCTGGCTTAACATCCTCCTCAATCTCTTCTGTCACATGATCTTGGCTTGGGGGTGGGGTCCCTTCCGTGGTGAATTTTCTTCCTAAACTCTACCTCTGGTGGGTGTTTCCATTCCTCTTCCCTTGCCCTTGCCCTTACCTGTGCATCTACCTCAACCTTTCCACGCCCTTTCATTGTTGAGTCTGCTAGAGCTATTGCCCTTGCACCCTTACACCATTGAGTCTAGTATCAACCATTTGCGACTATGGTTATAGTAATTTGAATCAAATTATAGCACGAAGAAAGAAATTGACTTATTTGGTACGGCATGATCAACGAACATAGAGCTCTGATACAACTTTGTTACTATCCAAATTGTCGTGACACCCACACTTATGCTCCAGCGGTAGAACAACTACCAATTCAAATTTAACCATCTGGACTAATTATGGAAATCAATTTATGGGGAAAAAGCAACTAAATCACAGTTTCAATGGATAAAAGATCGAATTTGAATAAACTCAACCTTAACAAAAATATTACGGAGATAAAAGCCCTTAAAATTTAAAAGTCGTGGTACCCTCTCAATCTCAAGGTCAATGATGCAAAAAAAAAGGAAGGTTTGAGACTTTTTCGGCATAAAATCCTAACTTACTCCGCTATAATAATCCGACTCGCTATAGCCCAGCACATGCCCACTACAGTGGCCTACTGCCCGCTATCGATAATTGTACAAACTTCGGAGACTCATAAACCATTGAAAAACCCTTTTTTACAGCATAGCTTCTTCCATTGACATCCAAAACCATCCCCTTAATGCCAAGTTTGATTTTGGGAGTTCTACTACCTGGATTCGATTATGTAAAGCTCTACATGTTTCTTAATATCTTAGTTACTAGAATATATATACCAAGGCTAGACATATCACCTCATCCTTATTCTGACGGTTCTAGACCTTATCTCCTTCAGATTTCGTTTAGCCTAAAAATTTTAAGTCACTAACTGAAAATGTTTCTGGCTCAATCTTTTTCACTATTAACCTATTCATGTCACAATTAAACATATAAATTTATCACACAAAAAAAACATTAAACAAATATAAATTTAATTTTAAAATATCCCCCAAAAGACCCTTATTTATGGTATGAGGATACAAAAGTTACTTTCAATTAACAAGTTGGTTGAGAATTATAGAATGAGAAAATCTTAGAGCATAATATAACGGCGGGGGAAGAAGAGGAGGAAGGTGGCGTGTAAATTCGTTGTCACGCCGTCCAAACAATATGCCAACCCCACGCGTAATCATCAATTAACCCTTAGATTGCATTTTTCTTCTTTTATCTATACAAAAATATATAAAAAAATATTCATATAAAGATGCAAACATTAAATTTTATTAAAAAAACTTTATATTATTAAAAAAAAAAACTTGAAAACTCATTGTGTCATATTCATAGAATATTAAAGTAATTCTTTTTCTTTTGTGTACCTCCTTATCACACACACTACTCTTTTACTAACTAGCTAAACAAGTTTTTCTCTTTTCTATATATAAGTAAAAATATTTATCCCCTCACCAACAACATTTCAACTAACACTTTATTTCTCTCATTCTTTAAGTCTCTCTTCTCTTCATCTACAACTCCTTTCTTCTCTCAATCTTGCTCGTCTCTTGTTTCGAGCTTGAATAAGGGTAAAGGGTCTCTCTATCTTTGCATATTTTTTATGTGGTACTTAAACTTAGTAAGTTTTGTGGTGTTTCCATGCAGATGAAGTCACTTATAATTTGTACATTTCGATCTTAAGGTTTTATTAGTTATTTTCTACATTCTTAAGTTGTAACTAGAAGATCATATTGTCAATGGTTGCATGTTTACTTACTTTTATTTCCTCTGTGTAATTCTATGCTATTTTTTGTAGGTATTAATAATTACATTGTAAGATTATGGACCTCCTTTAGCACTTGATTGGTTGAGAAAATATAAAAAGAAAAAAAAAGGCAATTCTATCATTTTCTTGAATGTCATAATTCATTGGTCATGAAGTGAAAAATGTGTATATGGTAGTGTGTGAAAAGGGTTTTTTCTTTAAGGGATCATGTGTTTTTGAGTGGAATGCACTCAAAGAAATCATTTCAACTTAATTATAATATATACTTTTTTTTTTACAAACAAAAATGAAGTCAATGTTTTCGTCTACTTTTTTATTTTCCTTTTCATCATAGAAATTGCCTAAATGTTACTACCATGAATAGCATGCAACTAATTAAGGTCATTGCAGGCTTATTCATCATCATTTTTCATATTTTCTTGTTTGGTAGGAACCAATTAATTATGATTTCCCATTTTCAAATTTCCAAAAATCAAAAAAATAAAAAGAAGGAAAATAAATCTTGAAAAAATATTTTTAAATTGGAGGACCTTGACCCCACCACCCCAAAGAAAAAAAACAAAAAGAATGAGGTAATGATGACTTTTAATTTGCTCACGAATGGATGTCAATTAATGAGTAGAATCATTACAAATCTTGCAAGATAAGAGAAGTGTAATATTCACACTCTTATAAATATATATTAAAAGTTTCCTTTTCATATTTACTTAACAAAAAGGTGCAAAAAAATATCTTCCAATAGTATATATATATAACTTTTTTTTTTGTTCTCAAAAAATAAAATTTGTTAGATTGATCAAGATGGAAATAGAGTCATGTGTTCCTCCAGGATTTAGATTTCATCCAACAGAGGAAGAACTTGTTGGATACTACCTCAAGAGAAAGATTAATTCACTCAAGATTGATCTTGATGTCATCACTGATATTGATCTTTATAGAATGGAGCCATGGGACATCCAAGGTACATTCATTCTTTTCATCTCTTTAATCTTCTTGTAATTTCCACCTTCTGTTTTAATTTGTTTGTATTACTTTCTTTTCATTTTGTTTTAAAACAAGTGTCTCATACCTTTTTCTGGTGACTCTTTAATTCTGACTTTCTACTTGACATGTTTAAGATCACATGATTAAAGAGTATTTTGATATGTTAAACATATCTTTGGTTCAAGTCTGTACCATTAAAAAAAAATCTCTTTCTTAAAGTTCATGCCAGATCAAAGTCAGACAAACAAATTAAAACGAAAGAAAACATCATTCACACAAAGATCAGGCAAAGCCCCAGAAACAATGAAAATTGTTACCATACTTGTCATACTATAAAACATGATTTCTATCGATACTACTAGACTATCATCATTCATTACTTAGTACTTCATACGTTCTAATTTATGTGATATAATTTTATTGGGAATAGAGTTTCAGAAAGGAAAAAACTTTGAAATTTATGGTCTAAATATATATGTCCTAGATGTTTATATAACTGTACATATATCATTTTCTTGGGACAGATTAAAAAGAAGAGTGAATCATATAAATTGTGACGGACAAAACCTGTAGTATATATTAGTGATGAGCTAGGTTATTGACATGAACTTATTGACATGCATGCACAGATAGGTGTAAACTGGGATATGAAGAAGAAAGTGAATGGTATTTTTTCAGCCACAAGGACAGGAAATATCCAACAGGAACTCGAACGAATCGCGCGACGGGGGCCGGATTCTGGAAGGCAACAGGAAGAGATAAAGCAGTGTTATCAAAGGAGAAAATAATAGGGATGAGAAAAACACTTGTTTTCTATAGAGGAAGAGCTCCTAATGGAAGGAAAAGTGATTGGATCATGCATGAATATCGTCTCCAAACTTCTCAACATGGACCTCCTCAGGTTACCTAATATCTCTCTGTTTCAATATGATGTAGTTTGAATCGATACGTATCAAAGTTTAAGAAAGTTTTGAAATTTATCATCTAAAATATGTTAATTTTGCGACTATAAAAGTATTTCATTAAGATTAAATCGAGCATTTAGAAGTTAAACAATTACTGAATATAGTAATGTGTCATTTTTTTAAAAAAATGGATTAAAAAAGAAAAGTTAGTTATTTAATTGGAATAGAGGGAGTATATATATATATTTCTAGGTAGAATATATATACTTCATTGTGATCTTATACATTTAACACTTTATTATTCTATTTTATGCTTTATAGAGACATAAATTTTTAAATCACAAATTTTAAAAATCTTAACTTTAAATTTTAAAATTTTGTGTTCAGTCGAACACCTTCGCCAGTTAGAAGTAGTAATTAATATTGTGTCGCGCATGAAATGCTTTCTGTGTCTTTTATTTATTTGAATAAGTTTGTTTCTTTTTGACTGTTGGACTTTTATTATAAAGTGTATTAATTGGCATCGCAAAGTACTAAAAAAGAAACAAGTTTTTCTTGTTCCTTTTTAGGGTTACTTTTGATGTTGGGAAAAAGTTTTGGAGAACATATTTATTGAAAAGACAATCCTTGTTTGTTTGTTCTTTATGTACTTCGTTTCCTGTGGAAAATATAAAGGAGGGGTTTGATTATGTAGTTTGAAAAAATAATAATTTGAAACTTATGGTACGTTAAAATTTAAACATGAAATTACATTTTATACCTATAAAGTTGTCACTAAGTAATTATTTTTGCATTTATATAGAATAGCATTATTCTTATTGGTATTATAGATGAATGTTACACAAAATGAAACAAAGGATAAATGGATTAGTAGCGAAAAGAATAATTTATTGTCACTGAATACCTCTTTTGTTTATAACGATCAAGATTTAGTTCGGAAGTTAATTGAAAACTCTAATTAATAAGAGTGAATAAGATTATTACTCAATTATGTATAATTTACTAACAAGTTTGGTAATTTGTTGTGAATTGACAGGAAGAAGGATGGGTAGTATGTAGGGCATTCAAGAAGCCAAGTCCATCAAACAACAATTATTATATGAGAGGAACCAACACAAGTTATTCAACTAGACCACCTCCATCCCTTTCACAAATGCCAAGTTATTATATTACTAATATTAATCCTCTCAACCAAACATCAAATTTCAATCATCAATTCCCTTTAAATCATCAAATCTCAAGCCAAAATAATATTGGTTATGACAATAATCAACTACTAATTCATGAACTCCCACAACTTGATAGCCCTACTACCATTTCAACAAGTTTGGCTACAAATGATCATCAAGGCCAAAATTCCATCAACAACAACAACAATGAAGATCAATTTTGTGATGAGTGGAGTGTTGATGACAAGTTGTTTGCACCACAAGTTATGGAGGCACCATCTTCTTCTTCTTATTCTTACCCTAATTTTCTGTTAGACGGCAATGATCAAAATCATATGAGTCAATTGCTACATTGTTACCCTGATTTATAGATGAAAATTAATCTTCTATGATCAGTAATAGTTTTTTTTTTTTTTTTTTTTTTTATCTTTTTTAATTGAAACAAAAGAAGTTTGTGCAATTCCTATGAAAAGGTGGCAAATATATATAGAAGGAAATGTTGAAGGGTGCAAGGCACGTTAAAAAAGGTTGCCTTTGAGAATTCTTTTATTGTTTAACTACCTATTGACTGTTTTTAAGATATTTTTTTAACTGTGAATGAACTGATGTTTCATTTTTTTTTAATCTACTTTTCATAGAAGCTTAAATTTTTTGTCCTTGCAATTTTATATTATCCTTGATTTTTCTCCATTATTATGATTAAGATGTTTATCTTTTGTTAAATTAAATTGAAATGAACTTACACAAATTATTACAAAGAAAATACAACAATCGATCACCTAAAGGTGCTAATTTTCTATTAAAAATCCTATAACTTAATATGAAAAAAAAAATGTACGTACAAATAATACATGGATGAAAAATAATATGAGCTGTATATTTGTGTGTATATGTAGAAAATATTGTATAACAGTTATATGTAGCCAATTGCTATATCTCATACGCATCGTTCAACATCGACGTAGGCAAGCCACGTACATACATGTATATTTTCAACGTTGTGTTGATTGTATAATTAATTCGATTCCAACCAAAGGGAAACTTATAATCCGTCGTTGCTATGATTTTCATGGTTATAACGAAAATTTTATCAAAATTCCAACCACAGGAAAATAATTCTTTTTCATCAACTCCCCTCCAAATCATGTTCAGGATATCTTATCTCTTTTTAAGTTAATATGTATATTTATATTAAGGGGCAATACAAGTTCAAACATTGTCTTCTAGAGGAAGTTCCTTTGGAAGGATCCAGAAGAAAACCTCGAAGTGAGACCCTGAGACATGTCCGCGGCATCAAGCTTAACATTTTGCCTTCCCGCTGTCAAATCCTTCTCACGATCCCAAGGTTTCCATGGATGATTTCCTTGCCATTCTTCTTTCGTTGATTCCTGCTTTGATTTTTTCTTTGACTTGCTACGAGCCGTCTCTTGATGCTTTTCTACCATAGATTTTGATCGTCTCGCTTTATTATACTGTTTCACCAGTTCAGCATCCACACTTGATCTACTCTTTTCTTGCAGCTCTTTAGAAGCAAGAGCTGAAGCCTCATTGAAAGCCTCCAGATAACTGAAAATACAAAAAAACTGAACTGATGTCTCTAATATCATATCCAAAAGATCTAAATAAGAGAGAATGAACATACTTCATTTTGGCTTTCTGAGCTCGATCTGATGGGGTGTCTGTCCAGGCACTAGTATCACCACGGCCTTCTTTCGAGCTTTTGCTAAAGCTCGTCTTTGAGTGCATGCTCACAACACCAGCCTAAGAAGTCATGCAATACATCATGCACAGTTTCACCAAGTAAAAGAAAGGAAAAACACTTTAGCAGTTTCTCATTCAGAAATTAGTCAAGGATTTCATGTTGTCTTTCTTTTGGATCCCACTATATAGTGCATGGTAACACACATTATGTATTCAAGAATCAATACATGTATGATAACATATGTTGTTATTTTCTTAGAATTACTGTTTCTTGTTCCTTCAGGATAGGGAATAAAATACTGGTAACTTACGGGAAAACATCTGGCGCTGCAATTCAATGAACTCCCCAGAGTCATAGCTTCCCATTCACTTTGTTTTTTCTTCTATTAGATTATTGTTCAATATCAATTCCATTTCAATGATTAAGATATGGTTAAAATAATTTTTTAGGTATATATAATAGATGTCAAACCCCCTTTGACTACTTCGTATGCCTAATTTTTCAGATCTTGAACCCCCTTGTTAAAAATTCTGGCTCCACGACTGGGAGGGACAAGAATTAAGAACAGGTATGTAGCACGAAGCCAGAGACATCAGGATTGACTTCAAGCTTAGACTTCCAGTAAGAAATTATATCGGAATAGTCCAACAATATTGGACCAACCAACTACACCTCAATCCCAACCTAGCGGCGGGTATGGTTAGCCACTTGTGTGTGTATGTATACTATCAATAAATCCCCAACGTTTAGACGGTAACTTATCTTGGCCTGCCAACTACATTCCACTATCCCAGTTTAAAATTCTCTCCTCTTTTTAGTATGAGTGTATATTAACCCCTTATCTCATACTTTGATCTCTTTCATAGCTTGAAAAATATTATTATGATCATTCCTTGTTGGATTTCAATTAACCTATATTTAATATTATTTGTAATATGTCAAATGCATCGATTGAGGCAGCTAGAGTAGTAGAACAATTAGATAAGCAATTATGCATCTTGGCCTGAACATTTAAAAATAGAACCGAGTTTGATCTGTCAAAATCTTAAGGAAAAGCAGCAAAAGGACATTCATCATTATTGAGTGGAAGAAACAAGACCCTACTTTTCTTTCAGGAGGCAGTGTAGTCATCCATTCATCTCTTTTTGGTGCAACTTTGACCTCCATCTCTGCTAACAGCAGATCATCACCTTCCATCGAGATACCTGAAGCAAATAGTAATTTTATTGAAAAGAAATTCCTCCTCGTCAAATCGAATGTTATAACCATACTGGACCATGACTTATCCCAAAATATAGAGCCATAATAAATTACTACCGATGTTCCAGTTTATGTGACACTTCCTTTTAAATCTATTCCAGAAAGAATGACCGCTTACTAAATTTGGATAGATTATAACTTAAAACTTCTCATTTTACCTTGAATGGCAAACTTTTTAGCCACCCACATATTATGACATGTTTAAGACTACAAGTTTCAGAAGTTCCCATTTCTTTCTTAAATAAAAAATTACATGCCCAATCAAATTGATTCACATATGTAGAATACTTAGTTGGAGTTTGAAATTTGTAATCATAGTATAAGAACAACAACATACATAGTGTAATCCCACAAATGGAGTCTGGGGAGGGTAGCGTGTATGCAGACCTTACCATTACCTTGGGAGGTAGAGAGACTGTTTCTAGACCTTTGGCTCAAGAAAACTCATAGTATAAGAAGTTACCAAATATAAGGTGATAGTGTTTATGTTATCAAGTTATTAAAGGGTATAACGTAAACTGTTGACTATGTATGGTAAGCCCCAAGGTCACTACTTTGTGAAAGATAAATTTGGCACAAGGAGGAAATGCACAATTTAATTTGAGAAGACAGACAGTACTCTCTCTACCATTTTTTCTTACTAATAAATTATTTTACAAAGGACCATATCATTTACTAGTTTTATACCAGATATACTTTATAAATGTGGAATAACTGAATAAGCCACCAACAATATGACACAACAAATAGATCTTGGATCTTGACGAACTTCATAACTATATTGTTCAGCGATCCATGCAGCATGACAATCCTCAAGAGAGGGCTCACCTAACAGTGAGTCTAAACGATGCATTTCTGAATTCAACATTAATTGCATAGACACTATCATCTCTATCTCTTCCTAGCTCACATCTGCATGTGTTTGCGCTATCTATATTCAACTGTGTCAGTCTCCTCTAAAGTTGACTGCATATCTTAACGAGAAGCATGGTTGTAGTGGTACATAAACAAACAGGATTCCTGAAATGGATTGTTAACATAGCCAAACCTGCAGATAGTCTTCGTATGTTTTATTCATCAGAAATGGACTATCTAGTACCACAAACGATAGATGGAACCATATATCCTTCAAAGGTGTGGAGCATGACAAAGGAAACAATCACATACCCGGAACAACACAACAACAACATACCCAGTGTGATCCTACAAGTGGGGTCTGGGCAGGGTGGGGTGTAGTCGGTGTACGCAGACCTTACACGCCTACACAAGATTATTGTTTGTGCTGCAAATAGAATTTCTATTGTCTAGTCACATGCACCATAGTGTAGTCCAAGCAATGAGGCATAAAAAAAGTAAAAGAAAGTGGAGTTAGGCTTTAAGTGAGAAGAGTACTTTGGGGATTATAAAATCATGAAAGGTATACTAAGGCAAATTACTTGATGAAGAGCTCCCTTGACAGAGCCCTTTAAGGAATTTTCTCAATCCAGTTTAATTGAACCTCTCTCGAATTCTTCTAGTAAGTATAGACATATGAGTTCATTTCTTTTCCTCTACTTCATTCTAGTAATTGAATGCTAATTAGTGGGTTCAAGTATACTTGCTTGGGTTGATTACTTTCTTCCTTTCGTTCTTATTCTATTTCTACTTTTTGATTTCCTTCTGTTATTTGCATCTTCACACATCCACACCCGAATTGTGTCGGATTGACATGGGTTTGGCAAGAGTCTAACCAACATAGATGGAGTTCACAGACAATTAAGCAATAGCAAAGTTGAATAAAACATTAGGTACCAATCACATAAAATTTGAGCAAGATAGTAGAATAAATGTATGATAAAGCACTTTTAGCAAAATGGACCAACCTTGCAAACGTCTCCACTGGGCAGCTTCACGCATAGCTTGTAATTCTGCCTACAGAACCAAATCTTGTGTTAATAGATCCGTAGTCAAGAGTGTTTTGAGTAATCTTCATACCCAATGGGACACAAAAAAGTGTACCTTCATTTCCTCTTGTTCTTCCTTGCGCTTTATTTTCTCATCCAACACATTCCTCTACAAAAGAAAACAACATCTTGGTAAATTAAATGAAAACAACATTTTTGGAAAACCCAAAATAAACATAGTATACTGTAAATGTTCTCTATAATATAGAAAGTCACAATGTAAGCTCAAGGAACTGAATGAAACAATGGTAGGCCACAATAACTAGAATACCTGATGTTACGGCATCAAATCATAGCAAGTCAAATTTTCATTGTGTTAATTCTGAGTGGTTATATAATATCCTACTGATTTTTCACAATGATAATTCTTTTAGACTAGGAATCAACAAAGTGAGTTGAAAGTGATTTAGTAACAGAACCATCTAGAACTGCAGTCCCTAGGGGAAAAAACCACCATGTGATCCGATCCAACTGACTGTTCTCTAATTACAGTTTTCAAAGTTCCCTGCAAAAGTATGATTTTCTTCCTAAGCATTTTAATTTCTATCAAAAGATGAGAGCATAAGTCATTGCCTGATCCGTTTTTT